AGATACTTTTCTTTGACTTTTCATTGCGAGTGGGTTGTGAAATAATATGTACATGTAGTGTTTAAAAAACCATCATCATTATCATTACAGCCCTTCACAAAACCTCTGCTGAGCATAGGCCTCCCCAAGGAATGCCACAAAACACCATCTTAAGCCACCTGCATCCATCGACTTCCTGCATGTCTTATCAGGCTGTCACTCCATCTAGTGAGAACCGCCCTACGTTTCGTCTGCCGGTATGAGACTGCCACTCGAGAATCTTTCTTTCCCATCGGTTGTCGGTTCTCCCAGCTACATGATCTGCCCGTCGCCACTTTAGCTTGATAATCCGTTGGGCTGTCTTAGTTACTGTAACACGGATATAGTATTATGGTAAATACGATAAAATTTACTTGTAAACGTCTCTGAGAAATACGTATGTAAAGACGTACAGGATTGTAGTTAATTGCTGGCTTATAAAAATAAAAACAAATGTAAAATAAGGAACTTTTGTCAGTGTTAGACACATTTTTTGCTGTACACATTATGAACGAAGCAAACCGTTTGGTTTGAATGCGTGGTATGGCGACAATAAAGAGGTGAAGACAGCCAAGCGAAATGTAGTCTGACGCTGATAAATCTTAGTTACTTTTAACAATTGCAAGACGATTACTCGAAAGTTTATTTGATTTTTCTTTCACTAATTCTATTCTTGACTCAATATGAACCGTAGCCGTGGTTAACCATGACATTAGGACGTCATACACCTCAATCCCCCCCCGTAACCATGGGTGATGTAAAGTACTCGAAACGTCTGCAATATAAAATAAGTTAATGTATGCGATCAAATCCGTAAAACTAGTGATTTCTTATATTTACGCGAACACTACAATGAAACTAGTTTTACGGATTTTATCGCGTATATTAACTTATTTTACATTCCCGACGTTTCAAGCACTTTACAGCACCCATGGTCACGGGGGGGACTGAGGTATATGACGTCCCAATGTCATAGTTAACCATGGCTACCTCCAGATTAAAAATTATTAATTTTTGTTCCGATCTACGCAGTATGAACTTACAGTATCATGAAGTCTTGCAGTTGTATGCTTGGGTTGGGATTTAATTTTATTAATTATGGGATCCCAAGCAGATGGTAGCACCCAGCCATCTTCTCTATTGAAATTAGGATGTTTTTTAATTTCAATAGCCTCGCGAATCATCCTTGGAAGGAATCGGTGTTCTTTAGCGAGGATTTGTGGTCTATCAAATCTAATGTAGTGACGGGGGCGGTCCTGTACATGTTCACAGACTGCAGACTTCCCGGAGCGTCTATTCTTCACATCAGCTATGTGTTCTTTAACGCGGGTTTTTATGGATCTTTTAGTTTGTCCTATATAAGAGAGACCACATTCACAATCCAGCTTGTACACTCCTGCATCTTGCAGAGGAATATTACACTTGACTGATGGTAAAAACTGACTAATCTTCTTCGGCGGCTTGAAATATGTTTTAATGGAAGCACGCTTCAAGATGTAGCCAATCTTGTCAGTGACACCTCTGACATATGGCAGTACAGCAGGCACTCGCTCGACAGTGGCCGGCTTCACTCGTTCACTGTGACGTAGGCGCGGGACCCGAAGCTTATTGTCGTGCAAAACTTGCTTGACGTGTTGGAGCTCGGCGGCCAGGTGTTTACTGTCACAGATCCCTCGTGCTCTCATCGTTTCAACGATGTTTGTATTCCGTAGCTATTAGTGTTGTCTTCCGATTTCTGTAAATAAAAGATGTATCCCTCTACGACATCACGAAGCCGTGTCTCGTAGTTGCGAAAAATTATTTAACAAAATCGTAACTTCGATATGATTAGTAAATGAAACTTCTTTACATATGGCATGTAACGATTATATCTATATTTGAAAATTATAAACTATATAATGCTCTATGAGGCAAACTATACCGTGATAATACTCGTACAAGAAGACATTGTACTAGTGAATGAAATATTAAATGTAACAAAAATAACAAACAAGAAACAATTATTTAAAAAAACCTTACTCACAAAAACATGCGAAATTAATAAATTATACATAAAAATAATTCAAATTATTTTCCTTCAGACTATTTTCATGCTCTTAACATTCAGGCTTCATAAAACCTTAACGGTAGTTGTTAACAAGTCTTTCAGAATAATTTATAGCATACTTGTGTTTGTTGTGTCTTTAAATTAATTAGTATCACCGGCCATAAGTCGTTTCTAGTTGATAGCTGGAATAAGTTAAAATTTATCCCATTTTGTAGTTTAAAATTTATAATTAGCAACTATAATGAAGATATAAGAGCTTGAGTTTTAAATTGGAGACGCACAAGAAAATGATGTAGTATCATAAGTTTTATATACTTTGGGCTATGTACTCATTGGTTTATTATTTAGACTTATCAAAAACAATTTTCTAAACTTTCGTGATAATTTTTTTTAAGTTATCGCGGTATATCAACGGAAAGATCAGCTATAATGTATGCAACTGCAGTCCAAAACGCAGCACATAAATCCAGTTCCTTTGGATCTTCAACATTCATTGTATCTCCGGCAGTGTGATGAAACCAGAAGTATCTTTCATTAGCATTGTGAAGACTGGCACCTGGTACGCCAGTTTGAATTATTACATTTATATCAGACCCCGGGCTGTCATCTTCAACTAAAGTAGAAGCGTTTACGGATGTAAATAAATTTAAAATTTCGCCAATAATGCATCTAGCTTCTTGATTACCAGCTACCGCTAATCCAAGAGGAGCAAACGTGCCTTCATCTGATTCCATTATAAAATTAATGTTTGAACTTTTATTTCTATGCTTTTCTTCATACGCATACGCGCCAGTTAGCCCTAATTCCTCAGCTGTCCAAAATATTGATCTAATAGTTCGTTTTGGTCGCAAATTCATATTTTTAAGAATAACTGGTGCTGCCCAACTGATGAATAATCCACCTCCATCATCCATAGCTCCTTGAGCCACATCCCAGCTATCTATGTGACCAGAGACAATTACTAGTTTTTCTGGTTTCTCAATTCCCTTCAAGTCAATAATTGTGTTTCGTGAAATTTTAGTATCATAACTTGAAGACATTTTAATATTTAATACAACAGTTTCACCTCGATTATATAACCTCCTTATCAAATCTGCATCTTCGAGAGTAATTGCAGCCGTTGGAATTTTAGTTATATTGCCATCATACGTCTGAGATCCAGTATGCGGAGAATTAATTGAAAATGGGGTAATCGATCTTACCAATGCTGCTAAAGCACCTTTTTCAGCCGCTTTTGTAGCTCCTCTTGATCTATATATTACCGTCTCTCCATACGTTGTGAAAGGTGGATCATAAATTACAATTTTACCTTTTATATCGTCAATAGGTGTGGCTTCTAACTTTTCAAAATTTGAGAAAACAATGACTTCTGCGGTGATACCATCTTCCGGTGTGCTCACACTTCTTCCCAGTCCTAATAAATCAATGTTTTTGACTCTAGGTTTAAGCATAGTTATAACTTCATTACCTCGAACCCAATGTGGAACCTGTAAAATACCTTGTATTTAATTTCTGGATAAATAGTATTTAATACAATTAGACGTAACAAAAGTTACCACCTCTAGTTCTTCGGTAGTAATATAATTAATGCCTTCATCTCGTGTTAGCTGAATCATGTAATCTATGGAGTCTTCCAATATTTCCGAACCCGAAGGTCGAGCGCCAAATGTATCCACAAATTTGGCTAATCTGAAAAACATATTTGATAATGAGTATTCTTTTAGTTTTTATGAATGTTTTATTAATTAAAAACAAAAATTAAAGTTTTCGGTTTGTTTATTATTACGCATTTAAATTCTTAACGACATGATCGAATTTGAAAAGTTCACTCATAGATCTTATATATTATAATTGTACTTTTCTTACACTTCCACTATACAGAATATCATCCCGTGGGTGTCGTAAGAGGCGTCAGAGGGACACAAACCAGGAGATAGGCAGCAGCGTCTTTTTAAATACAACTAGAAAATATAAAATAAACAGGGGTTGCCAAACCGCCTGTCAAAAGTGGCAGCTATGGCAAACATCAAAATAAAGTAATTCATTAATGCATTCATCCTCTGTATAAAAGTAACAGTAACTTTTTCTTAAATTTTTTTTTCAACAATACATAATGACAATAACAATTAAGAATGGCACAAAAGTATAAAAAATCCATTTGTTATTTTTGACATATAAATGTATAGTTATGTGTATTTTAACCGAGTTTAAAAAACGGGAAGGTTCTATATTCGAAGACTATATTTTATGTACCGAAAACGACGATTTAAATTAATCTTATTTTATTCAATATTAGTAGGTTCATCAGGGTATGGTCCCATATAAATTAAAAGAACATTTTTTGATATTCATCCATTTCTGGAAAATGGCTGAACCAATTAAAACGATTCGTTTTTTTATTACATAAGTTATACTTATATATGAAAGGAGCAAATTCCATCGCTTAGGGTGGAAAAACAGGGTATGAAGATGTTAATGTACCTATTTAAACGATATTTTATTTGTTAAATTGAACTTGTCATATTTCTTACATAACTCAAAAGGGTATTATATTATAAATAATAAACTTTTGGTAAAGGTACATATATCAATAAAAAAATATATTTATAAAACTAAGAAAAAATATTTCCACATTATAGCTTCCGAAGTCAGCGCTTTAAATCTTCTAATGTCTTAGCACCGACCTTTGAAGCAATTATGTGTTTACACAATTTTAACAATTTTTTAACAATTTTACGTTATTAAAAGTTTAGTTATCAGATCATCCGCAACACATTTTAAAGTAATTTAATATCGGAATTTTTGATTTTGATTCACAAACAATATTATACATATTATATTTAAATTACAATTCTAAGCACTAACCTAGAATGGCTAGTGCTCTTAAATGTTGTTATTGTTGTCTTAAATGATGTATGTTTGACAAAATACTTACTCATTATATGTTTTTCCTTTAAAGTTTCCTTCTGTTACGTACTTAAAAATTTCTTCTTTCACATTTTTGTAAGATGAAATCTCACTAAGCAACTCATTACCTAATACTTGTTGACAAATTTCCGAATTTTTAGGTAAATACTTTGCATGACCCGCAGAGCATATGAAAAATATAACAATAATACAGTAAACTGTAATCATATTACAAGGCTTGCCGACTACTGATTAAAATAAATTCTACAGAATTAGAAGCAAAAGACTGTCTATTTACTTTAAAAACTGTCAATCAATACTTGAATCCTCTTCTTGATATAGTGGATTTCGATATGCTCTTATTATCTTGTTTATCAATTTATCAGTATTTTCACTATCTGTCAACGGATTTTTCAGGCTTAACCTTGTTAAAACTTAACTGAGAAAAACTAGATCACTAACCTACAATACAAAAGAAGACTAAAATATAACATAGGTAAATAGCACTTTTTTATATTTACCGTTTACAAAGTAAAACATAAATGCTTCGCCAGCTGCTGCTGATTATTCCATAACTGATAAAGATTTTCAAAAAATTCAGACTAACATTGCTAATTGCTGGTCTAATGCTGAAAAGGATCTTACTAAAAATAATAAACAAAGAAAAAGGATCCCCATAAGCTGGCGGAAAATTGTTTATGCAATTTTAAACCCTAGCTTACTATTGTATTAAGCGGTATGGGAAAAAATCGGGAAAATTAACATGTATTTGAAATAAAAATATTTCAAAGAGACATCCAAGTCCAAGTTGTACTTTGTTATTCTCGAATTTTATTATCATATTATATTCACATATTTCATTGTCAAAATCCCAATATATTAATTACATCGAAATATTTAAAATATGCCTATGAGAAAGTGGAGAGGAAACTTCTGCAAAAGTTAAATAAGTTTGGAATCAGAGGAATAAATGTTAATAAATATATAACAAATGTTTAGCAGAGACGGTATTCATGACAACGACATAGAACTGGGAATAAATGCAGGACAAACAATATGTTTACGTTCATAGAAGATTAATTCTTTAAAAAAAAACAATTACTGTCTAAATACTTGCCACATATACATTATATGTGGCAAGTATGGCAATTCATTATTTTATTAGAACATGAATTAAATGCACTATTCTGTATTAGTCTATATTTTATTGTATTGTACTAAAAGTAGGTTGTGGTAAAAAAGCATGAGAGGAAAATTTACACTGTATAAATGGGGTCGTTAAGATGTACAAGTATGTCAAGGGTGACTAAATGATAGGGTGAGAAATTGGTTGATATGGAAAAAGCGTGGTTTGCAAGGAGATGTTGTAACAAGGATTAAGAAAGGTTTTCTTCGGTGATTTGGTCACGTCTATAAAACAATGTAGCTGTCGATTGCGTTTGAAATACAAGTTATAGAAAAACGTTAGCTTTTGATTTGATATATTTTTTAAGATAAATTTACTTTTTACATCAGGTCACCTAGTAGCATGTAGTGTGGGCTGGTGACACTTTTCTATTTCACTCTGTACATACTTTAAAATAGAACTTATTTGTAATGCAATACTTTTTCCTTTTGACAACATTGAAATACCTATATTTTATTCAGCGATAATAGCGATAATGTTATATAAAAATACAATATAAAGATAAAACGTCACGATATCGTAACAATTTATCCTAAATAGCTAAGGGCACTTACTCATCGTATGTCTTCCCCTTGAACGGGCCGGAGACGTATTCGATAATATCTTTGACGACAGTATCATAAGAAGCAATTTCATCTGCCACAGCACCGATATTACAAGATCTCAATTCAGAGTAGGTTTTCCTTTTTATCTTGGCGCATTGTGTGTGCAATACAAGAATTAAAAATAAATACGTTTTTGTCATGGGAACGAACATTATTACATTTACGAACAAACATTTATTTACGGACAATATTTATTTAAGGACGCGTCCTCACTCTGGCTTTAACGATAAAGGAATGTTATAGGAAAGTGACCATATTAATATTATATCACCGTCTTTTATTAGAATCATTGTATATGTTGTTTTATTTAATACTAGTTTAGTGATGCTGTATGAAAGAGGTGTATAATATATTCATATGCGTATGGAATAAATAAAGTACATTTCTTTAAAATGTGCTCTCACATGATTAATAGGACAGGGGAATTGTTTGCAGCAAATCATTAATACTTTACTGTAGTTATTAAGCCCCAGTATCTTAATTAAATATACACCCCAAGTATAGTACAATTTATTCTTAAAATCGGATATTTAAAATTAGATAAATAGTCAAAAATAAAAAATATGTTTTTTTTAAATCACAGGTCAGATGTGTATAAACTCAAATACGTCTATAGTAGTGAGTATGGATAGAATAAATGTTTAAAAACATTCTTAGAGATGACACAGACTCTTGAGTTTACAATTCACTATGCATTGAGGTTGTTTAGATAATGATCATCACATTGTATTGGAGAACAGCTTGTCACTTGAATAGATCTCATCCGTTATCAAGTCTACATTCCTTTGAATCGAGTTCAATGCCATTTATGAACATGTCATTGTATGTACTTCATATTATAGTTGCACGACCGACTCGGCAGTCCTAACCGCGACTGCTGGATTTCGAATCCTGGGTTGAGTCAAAGCTATTTATCGGGTTTTTTGCAATTTTTTTTTCAGGTGCAGCCCGATTGAAACACTGCAAACTTCCTGAAGTTGGCAGTGTTTCAACGGTCTGGCGCACATACTCGTGCACCATAATTTAGTCCTGTGCAGTAGCGATAGCTATAGTATTTGCGTTGTAGCATGTTGCGAATGACAGGTCACTAGAGCGTAACTTGCGCACGCTTGCAAGATACGACATATGTGAAAATAACACTGATTTTTTATTAATTTTCTTTTCTATTATAACTATTAGATTAACATTAACTTCAAAATTTTCAGCTAATGTAGTTTTTTTTTATGTAAAAAATAATAAAAGCTTAATTTAATTCACTTCCGTGCGCAGTTACGTATTATCTTTACTAGCAGTACTTTTTTAAATACTAGAAACGTACCTCATACCTCAATCGGAAGTAAAAAGAAAGTAAGATAATTATATTTTAGTTTGTGTTTTGCAATACCGTCATATTCATATATACTAAATTTAAGTAGCTTTTGATTCATGTATAACAATAAACAAATAAATAAAGAAAGTGGTAAAATAAAAAAAAAGGAATTAAATAATTTTATATTTATTCCGCCAGGTTTTTTGTTCTCTAGAACTCTAGAGTGACTAACCCCCCGCTTGAATTCCCTAAACAATTTATTTTCGTTTCGGCATTTTAAATAAATAAACTTAACAAGTAGCAAACACTAACTTAAAAAAAAACACAATGATAAACTCAATAATTGAAAGTAAAAACAATATATACTCACCTGGAAATTACAAAACGGCCAATAGGTACTTCATACAAAGTGCTAGGCGCTAGCATAGATTATACACACGTGATTCGTAAGGTGCTAGCACTCGTACCTAGAAAAGTTGCAGGCGCACCGTAATCACGGGTGCTGGCAGCCATTTTATTTGTTTTAATGTCAAGATAAATGTTGCAATTAACATAAAATAGAAGATGATTTTGGAACGAAGTTCGTTATCGGACAAAAAGTGTAATATTTTTCCGTCACGACCCCTTCTGACGTGTCCACACTACGGCCTTGGCGGCTATAAGGAAGCGAGATGGAATAATATCCATTTCCCTCGCACTTTTTCTTATCTTGTTGTGAAAGATATATTATTTTATTTTAATAGACACTAGAGATTGATTTATTTATATTTGTTAATCGATAATAATATAATATGTTTATCAATAATTATATGCTACGAAAGGACCTTCGTTCCAACCGAGTGTTCCACGATACTCACGCATGTTTTTTTTTTATTTTCACATTAATACATAGTGTATTAATCTTAGATTGAGTTACATTTATCTAAAATTACTTATTGTTCCATCCGTCGATCTGTGGTTGTGTGTTAACACGGTTACAAATGATAGAAGCCATTAATCAACCAAGCTATCTTACCAATAGATTCCACTTATCCTTTGCATGATTTGTACACTTATCCTTTGGATGATTCCCATTGAAATTTGTTAATGAAAAATGTTTTGTTTACATGACATTAACGAAAGAGTTAAAGAATAACTTTTTAGGGTTTCGTAGTTACACGTCTTTCGTAATTTGGCATAGTTATAGATATTAATCACGACTAGAAAACTTTTTATTTTGGGTACTAAGTAAATGGAGGATAATTATTTTTTACCCGTCTGTTCTATCATGTGGGGTAGCGTCGGATAGGTTTTTCAAAAACACTGGGGGTGTGGAACAACATCTTTTCAATTCAGGGGTCCGTTTGCGAAATATTTAGCTTTAAAGTGGTATTTTTCATTAGAGTCAACGACTTATATACATTACTACTATTAGCTTTACTTTTATATTTGCGGGATAGATAGGGTGTTAATATCAAAATTCAAAAGTTTTTTTTTTTTTAATACTACTCCCTATAAGGCTGATTTAAAAAGAATTCCTTTAGTTACGAGATTCCTATTTGGGCCCATTTTAGTCGTTATAGCGGTCAAACCGTAAACTCACTTATTATGCTCATTATCAAGGAAGCTCACGTATTGTAACAGGCAAGTACGGAACATTACCTCTACATTGTGCGTGGCCCGACATGTGGCCATTTTTTTTTTATAAATTTCAGAATAATATTTTTTGAAAACTTTCTGTAAGTCTGCCATTTATGTAATACCCATATATGCTGGTGCTCAATGCAAAGGTGTATTAAAGAGCTTATTGATGTCCAAAATCTGGTTAAAACCAATTTCACCACAGTCTGGAACACAGGCGTAAAACAGCCAGTCTTTCTGTTTTGTTATATGCGCAGAAATTGCATAACATAATTCCACCCTCTCCCTTTCGTGATAAAGCAAGTAAGGTAATATTCATTGAAAAAATAGAAACTTAAGAGAAAGAGATGTGCTTTTTTGTATATTTCCTTTTTTGTCGTTTATTATCTTCTTCCACGTAGCCAAAAATTCAAAGCTAAACATTGCTTCACAAATTGAGAGGAGTTTCTAAGGCAATATTATTGTTAGACATATAGCTGTGAATTGATTTTGAATTGGCTTTTTAAAT